GTTGGATTCAACGGGGAACCGAATCTTACTGATATGAATCTTGGGTTCTTGAGGCAAAAGTAAACCTATAGGCCACACGACATCAAAGGTGAGTTGGTATTTATCAACGAGACAACTCATACATTGAGAATGAGTTTGATCATTCTGTCCAGACGTATCGTCCTGGACATCACTTCCAGTGAACCGTTACCATCTAATATGAATTATTTCATTTTAGGCCTCCTTTTATCTGGATACCATTTCCTCATGTCAGTATTTCTGTAAGACTAGACATCCTTGCATGAATGCTTAGGACAGTAGTAGCAGTAGTTAGTAGTTACCCGCTGTGGAGCCGATCACAATTGTTGTACCGACAGAACACTGCAGACCTAAGTTCGGAATTCTAAGACCATTCTTGAAGCCACCTCGAGGGAGAAGCACACAGATGAGCTTAGTCACTTATCAGTGACTAGGTTTTTGATTTATTATCTCAACAAAGATTTATGTTCCTCAAACCTGCCCAAAAGGGAAAAACATATTAGTGTAGGGTATATGCTTTTATGCATGAATGCATTCCCTCAACCTACTGTAAGCTGGCGATATAGCTATTTCTAAGGTAAAGTATAACTTCAAAACAGCAACGTCTCAAGTATTGAAGAGACATCCTCCTTTCTTCTTTGGGGAGCCTGGGTTCATTACAGCCCCCTTAGAATTGAAACATTTGTGCTATAGGTGTAATATAATTTATATCTTATAAACATTTTGGTATTGTTTACAATCAGGAAAGTAATATCTTCTCATATTTGACACTTTGTGGCCTCAGGAACTCAAGGCTTCCTGCCAGTATTGTAGGGAGAGTCCTATAGTAACGGTTGATGAAAGGTTGATAAAATTTATGAACTGACCGGTAAACAAGGGGATTTGTTGACAAGTTTTCAACCAACTGAGAAAGGTGTAGATGTTGGGGAAAGGAATTATAAATATTTTAACTGGGTTCGAGTTTTATTAAATTTGTTACCGTTTAGAATTAATTTCCCGTTTTTGTTTTGTATGCTATATAAGCCCCAGGGTTGATAAAACGGGTGGCGCTCTACCCTCCATCTTACCCACGCCCTTCTTCAATGTTTAAAAGCTGGCGGCCTACCCTGGGAGCTATGCTCTTTCTCTAATTCCTAGTAGCCACCCTCACGCCAAGTTGTGGAACAACGAGAAATTGTTTACGAATTGACTTAAGTGGTCAACGATAAATAAAAGGCGTGACAATTGTGGAGCGAAATGCGGTTTGTTGATTTTACAGAATGACAAAGATATTTCCATTGAGGATCTTTACGGTTTCAGAAAAGCTTGTTTAGCATTTTATATTGAGTTAGCAAACAAAATAAAAAAACGTTTTGATTCAAATGATCCTGTGGCAAATAAAGGAGACCGCCCGACCTTCAACAGGAGAGGCAGCTCCTCTGTCATAGCCGTCACCTTCGCTTCAAACACCCTAGCACGAAGAGTAACAGAATGGGAAGTACTTGAGGAAGACTCGATGAGCTGGCATAGCTTGATAGTTATGAGCATAGAACACAGGGTACCAAAACACAAACCGGCACCAAAGACAACACCATACATTAATAAAGACCCTCCGGGCCGCAATATCGCTAATTCACGATCCGACTGAGACTGAGCCAGGCGACTTAGTCAGGCAACTGAGGACTGCGCAAAAGGCTGCCACCACATATAAAGGAGAGAAAGCTCCACGGCGGCAACCTTACTGGTGGAATCAGGAGATACAAGGGCGAAAGGGAGTCTGCAATAAAAGCAGACGCTACCTAACCAGAGCCAGGAAAACCAACCCGCCTAACAAACACACGTTAGAAGAACAATACGAAACGTGCAGAAAAGAGTATAAAAGAGCTATAATCAAGCGGAAAAGGGAACACTGGCTACAGGTATGTCAGGAACTTGATGAAGATATATGGCTAGAGTTGTCACAAGCCAACTGAAAAACCACGGCTCACCTTACGATATGGACCCAGGAAAGGAGGAAAGAGATCATACGCAAACTTTTTCCCCAAAAAGTAGACGCTTGGGAGATAGACGAAAACGTATATCCAACACAAGAAACTACTTTAGAACTAAATATAGCGTGTGGAAGACTCAAACTTCGAAAGGCTTCTGGTCCTGATGGTCTCGCAGCGGAAATTATAAAGGAGGCAGCTAGTATAATCCCGGATTTCCTCTGAACAATAGTAAACCAAATTTTGCGCAGGCAAGAATTCCCCGTGGAGAGGAAGGTAGCCACAGTAGTGCTGATCCCAAAACCCGGGAACAAATAAAGGACAATATGCCTACCGGACACACTCGGCAAAATGGTGGAGCATATTATTAAGAACCGTTTGGAGATAGAGCTAAAAGAAAAGGTTGGCATCTCCGAGAGACAATTCGGCTTCAGGAAAGGTATGTCGACGGCGGTCGCAGTAGAACAAATATTATGAGTAGCAACAAACAATCAGACGAAATGGTGAGCAATTATCACGATAGATGTGGAAAACGCCTTCAATACTGCGGGCTGGAGCATTATCGTGAGAAAACTGAACGACGTAGGAATAAACCCATACTTGATAAAAATGATAGAAAGCTACTTTCTAGGACGTCACCTAAACATCCAAAAGGAAGACTACATTGATATGACCCAGGGGGTCCCAAGGGGTAGGTTCTTGGACCCACCCTGTGGAACACTCTCTATGACCCAGTTCTGAGGCTAAATATGCCTCCCGGATGCCAAACGATGGCATACGCAGAGATTTGTAGATTCCGCGAACCCAGCCTAAGAATGATCGTGAACTGGATGAAGGAAAGTGACTTGAAGATTGCTACGTACAAGACAGAGGCTATCATTGTCAAAGGCCCAAGGAAAAGGGATGGCATAGCATTTCGAGTAGGAAATACTGAAGTACTACCCCAAAAATTTCTTGAGTGTCTAGGCATCTGGCTCGATGATAAAACTATATTCAAACTATGTCCATCAGAAGGACAGTAGAAAAGGTCGAAAAATCGGTGACGGCCCTGACGCGACTGCTTCCGAACATAAGCAACACCAGCACTGGGCACCGATATGGGAAAGGGTAATGCGCGTCGATGAATATATCAAAATGATGGCCAGCACACAAAGGAGAATGTTGCTTAGGATCTTTGCAGCATACAGAACTGTATCTTTCGAGGCAGCCTGCGTGATTGATGGGGTCCTCCCCTTGGAACTTTTGGTGGACGAGAGGAAACGGGTATATCAACATAGAGGGGATAGAACACCAAATGTAGCTAGGGAGAGACTAGTTACAAGAGGACATTGGCAAGCAAGATGGACAATGGGCAAAGCGATTGATTCCAGACATCGAACCATGGATGATCATCGAAATCGTAGATCTCGTATGGGACGAGGAGAATGCAAGGTCAGCAAAAAGGAAAAAGGAGGAAACCAGTAATAGCGCAAATCTGGAAGTCAGTAATTTGAGCGAGCATAGTGACCTTCAAGGACATGAAAAAAAGCAGAGTAGAATGTGGCAGATGGAAAAGGTTATGAAATTAACAAAAAGTATGGACAAGATTGCCAGGGGATTCGAAATGAAACTAAGGGAAACCCCAGTAGCAAGCACCGAACTGAAAGATTTAGGTGCCATGTTGAAGAGCATATCCAGCCAGCTGATGACACAAGATATCCAAGGAGGAGTTACAAGTCACCAGGAATTTTGAAGAGTTCCAAAGACTGGAAAAGCTCATGTGGGAGAACTCGGTATATACCAACACCCAGGTTGTTATTGGAAACCCTCTGAATACAGAGGACACAGTGGTGAAGGAAGTTATTCTGAAACTAGACGATATGGAAATGAATAATGGCATACAGAAAATGTATAAGGAAAAATTCCCGGAACTACCCCACCTGGAAGGAAGCTTCGAAATCAAAGATCAGACAACTAGAGCCCAAGGCACTGGCAATACTTATAGGAGAAAGGTTATAAAAATTGGTTACGACGGAACCCCACTGGGATTATGGGACAAAATTGAATAGCTGCAGAATGAGACTAAGAAGGACATGCCCTTTACAACATGTAAAGGGCATGAGTATAGAGTCATTGCGGAAGATGGTACAAACCCTCTTCCACTCAGGCAATACAACAGTGGAAATATATGCCACCTCTCAAAAAAACCAGCAACTTGAGGGAGAAGAAAACATACGGTGTGATGATAACGATGGAAGCAGTACCTATAGGGACATACTAACGAAGGTAAAAGGCGCTATCGGAAACTCTAGAGCAGTGGCTGCGATACGGGACATTCGAAGTACTAAGAATGGCAAACTGCTACTCACCACAGAAGGCTCTGACAGAGTTAAGAACGGCTATTGAAAACGAGGGTTCCATGAAAACCAGACGCTTGGAAGTAGCGAGATACCTACTGAAATGATATATGTCAGGGGGATGGCCAGCGACGTGACCAAGGAAGAAATTACCCAAGCCATCAGTCAGGTCATCGGTAGCTGGAATAACTCATGTAAGATTAGTGATATAAGCCCTTACAAAATGAGACGACAGCGGTCACAGTTTCTTTGCCCAAGGAGAGCGCAAATGTACTCTTGAGCAGGGAGGAAATCAAAGTTGGCCTGGTAAGGTGCAAAATCAGTATATCGAAGTGTAATAAATGTTGGAGCTACTCACACAAGAGATAAGCTTGCGATGGACCGGATAGGACGAACGGGTGCTACAGGTGTGGAGCACCAGAACACAGAGCAAAGGAGTGCCCTAATTGTGCGAGTGCACTGTCCCTTGTGCGACGAAAAGGGACATAAGGCTGGCACAATGAAATTTCCGGCTTTCAAAAAGGCACTAAAGACGGCGAGGCAGGAAGAAAGATGCCGAAAAGAGATAAATGAGAAAATGAAGGAAGGGAACACTATATGGATGAGTAGAAGTAACAAGGATGGTAAAGAGGGAGTATCAGGGGGGCCCTCTCAAAATGAGTAGTAACTAGAATACATAATGCCTCTTAAGATAATTCAGTTCAAAGTAAACAGGAGAAGAAATGCTCACAACCTATTGCAAAAAACAGCTGACGAGAAAGAGGCAGGCATCTTAGCAATACAGGAACCAAATATAAACATGATCAAAGATAACCCCGTATGGATCAAGGATCTAGATAATGATACGGCTATCCTGTGTAGGAATAAAAAATATGGCATAGTCAAGCATACCAGAGGTCACGGATACATAACTCTCAACTTTGGAAAATGGTCTTTGATAAACTGCTACTTCTCACCAAATAAATCCCTACAAGACTTTAAAATATACTTTGACACCGTGATAGAGCAAGCCCGAATGAGTCCTAATTTTGTAATAGCTGGAGACCTAAATGCAAAGTCAACGCTGTGGAACTCCAGGTACACTGCCCCCAGAGGCGATTACATCGCAGAATGGATGAGCACACTGAATAAACAATATCGGAAATACGCCAACCTTCTCCAGAGGCAGACAAGCCTCATATATAGATGTCACTCTATCCTCGCAAGGGATGGCAGATGAACTATCTGGAGGGAGTTGACAAATTCGACTCAGCGTACTATCCTGGATATAGTAGGGGAAGGTAGTGCGATGCAAATTCCGGTAGTGTTGACGGAGGAACCTTCAAATAGCCAGTAAATGCCCTTACAAATCCTGCAGCTGAACACAGATAGAAGAAGAGGAGCACAGCAACTCCTTCAGAAAACCGTGGAAGAAGAAAAAGTTGACATTGTTCTAATACAAGAATCTCATCTAACTATAATTAAAAAAAAATATGCGCTGGATCACAAACAAAACATGAACACAGCAATCTTTTGCAATAACCGGAACTGTGGAATAATGGACCCTTATCGTGCACAAGGCTTTACATGCCTGTATTTCAAAGAGTTTTCAGTGTATAACTGTTATGTATCTCCAAACACTACCTTGGCGGAATTTGAAAGATACTTGGACACAGTTATGCAACACGTTAGAGAGAGAGGGAAAGAGGCGGTAATTGTAGGAGACTTCAATGCCAAGTCGTACCTCCGGCACTCCGGAACAACGGACCTGAGAGGCGAATATCTAGCGGAATGGATAGACTCCATGGGTATGATAGTTCAAAATGTAGAGCAAGTCCCCCACTTTTGTCAGGGGACCACAACAGTCTATTATAGACATAACCATCTCTACCAGAAAGATTGCCAACAAAGTGAAGAACTGAAGAGTTTCAAGCAAGGAAACCCTGAGTCTTCATAAGAATATTACCTTCCAGAACGAGGAAGGCGCGACAAATAAGAGGATTGGATGGCAAGCACGGGGGTACTTAGATGCCCAGATCTTCCAGGACACACTGCGCCTACTCGCACATAAGACGACATAAAGACCGCCCAAGCAAGTAGTATTACAAGGGAGAAAGACGCCAGAGTTAAGCTCCAACCGGTTTGGTGGAGCAGCGAAATAGCAGCGCTGAGGAAGGGCTGCAATAAAGCGAGAATACACCTAACGAGTCTCCGCAGCCGGCACTCAGAAAACAATAGAATTAATGAGGCCGAAAGACTATATAAGGAAAAGAGACGGGTTCTGAAAAAAGACATCAATCAATAGAGCACAGAAGGCCGAGTGGAACCTTCTTTGCGATAGGCTGAAGGAAGACCCATGGGGTCAAGGTTACATAATCATCACCTGGAACACCAGGACTCCATATGAACTGCCCCAGGAAAGAAAGGAGAGACTAGTAAGGGAACTTTTCCCCGATCATCTCCGTGATGAAGAAGAAAGAACGGGATCCAACCCCCTGGGACACCCTTCAATGTGCAGGAATTGATGCTCGCAGCCGGTAAATTAAGGCCGAGGAAGGCGCCAGGACCAGACCGGAAGCCACGAAGATGGCCGTGAAGTACATATACCGGATACCATGCCACATATCGTGAACGGGCTCTTAATAGACCAGATATTCCCTAAACCCTGGAAAAAGGTGCCGAGAAACCAACGGGCTACAGGCCAATAAGTCTCCTGGGTGTAGAAGGCAAGCTCTATGAGCATATGATCAAACTGAGGCTGGAAGCCGAACTAAAGGAGAGATCTATTATTTCAGATAGAAAATTTGGCTTTATACCAGGGAGATTCACGATATCGGCGATGAAGTACACCATTGGAAAAGCCAATAGCAGGGAGGCTAGCTGGGGGGCCGTGATAATAATAGATGTCAAAAACGCCTTCGACACGACTAAGTGGCAAAAAATCTCAGGACGTATGCAGGACGCGGAGGTCAGCCCCTCCCTCATAGAGATAATTTGGCATTACTTTTCCGAGCGGCATTTGGTATGTGAGACCTATGCCCAAGAAATGACAGAGGGAGTTCCCCAGGGTTCAGTCCTCGGGCCTACCCTATGGAACCTGCTATACGACCGCATACGCGGATGACTTAGCGCTCATCGTACAGGCAAGTCACAAGGAGGAAATGCTGGGGATGGTGGAAAAGGCCAACGTTAGCCTAAACTTGGTGAATAATTAGATGATCGAAAGCGGATTACAGCCAGCCCCGCATAAAACAGGCATCATCTTCAAGGGACCGAGTGGAGCCAAACAAGAATGTAAAATACTTGATGGTTTGGCTAGACGAGCAGCTGATTTTTAACGAGCATGTTAGAAATACAAAAGAAAAGGCTGACCGACAGACTGCCGCCCTTGCTCGGATCCTCCCCAGTATAAGGGGACCGGGATGGAAAAAGAGGAAGGCTATCTATGGGGCAGTACAATCGACCCTTTTGTACGCGGCACCGTTATGGGGGCGAGTGATGCTCGTCAATAGATACAAGAATATGCTAACCGGAGTCCAGAGGCGAATGTTATCGAGGGTTGCAATGGCGCATAAAATCGCATCTGCCGATGCCCTGAATGTTATTACCGGTATACCCCCCCATCGATCTGTTAGTGGAGGAAAGACGGTGGCTGGATGACCGGGAGACGGTCACGGAAGAAATAAAGGCCGAAGAAACAAACAGGACGATAGGGAAGAGGTAACAGAGATGGACAGCCAACACGAGTACCGCACAGTGGACAAAAAGACTGATCCCAAACCTAAAGCCATGGCTAGACTGCAAATTTAAGAATCTCGAATATTTCGTCACGCAGGCGCTGACAGGACACGGCTCCTTCGGAAGTTTTACCTATAGAATAGGGAAAACAGCGGATGATCGATATAGATACTGCCAAGCGACGACCCGCGACATACCATTTTTTCATGCCAGAGGTGGTATTTCGTTGGAGACAGGGTGAGCCCGGATAACTTAGTGGAGTATATCATAAGTGAGCAAGGAAACTGGCGTGCAGGCGCTGGGTACCTCCGTAGCGTGATGGAACCGGATATAACAAACCGTAGATGATAAACTGTGATATTTACATACGTTAGTACTATGAGTTATGCGTAAAATGCGTGGTTTTACACGCCGCCTGTACTCTTGATGTTAGGCCACATCGGCGGTTCCGAGTACAGGAGGAGGCGAGGGGTGGTTTTAGCCGGTAAGAGTCTGACACTACTGGCTAGCGATGGACACCAAGCGGCCAGTGCCCATGAGGGTTTCCACCGTACCACGAAAAAAAAAGTTGAGGTTAGGTCAAGTTGAGTTAACTTGATGTTATGCCACATCGGCGGTTCCGAGTACTGGAGAGGTGAGGGGTGATTTTAGCCGGTAAGAGTTCGGCACTACTGACTCGCGATGGACACCGAGCGGCCAGTGCCCATGAGGGTTCCCACCCTACCACAAAAAGGTTAGGTAGAGTTAGGTTAGGTTGGGTTGGTCCGGGAGGCAGGCATGGCGACCCTGGGATTTCTCCAGCCTGGATTCCACCTTTTTTCAACTGGTCTTTGAACTATCGACTACCCTTGGTCAACCCTTGTTTCTTCTTATCCCGATGCTAGTAGAGTATTCGAGGGCAAGGGGCATTCTTTCCAAGTCTATACTCGCCCAGGGAGTAAACACTTCCAAAATTCCGTAACCAGACGATATATGGTCTAGAACGGAGCCATCAGGAAATTGGAAGCCTCACGATGTAGAGTGCCTTAACCATACAAGCGGGGCTCTGTAGAGATGATTTAAACGAAACAATTAAAAAAAACAGGAGGAAACTGAGAAAGAAAAGAGAGGGAGGATTCGAGAGGGAATCCCATCCCCAGTAATGATCAGGGAAAACACAGAAACCACAGATAGGAGGGAAGATAATGAGAAATACGAAGCATCGAGGTCAGGTACCTCGGAGGAAAGATTTTGAAGATTTTGAAACGATAGACCTCACGGACGAGGAGAAGGAGCCGGGACAACTGAAAAAAAGGAAAAGAAGGAGTACTCCGGAAAAACAAGGGGGATCAGAAACCAACATAGAGGGAAGAATACAGGAGTTCCAAAAAGTGGAAAGGATAGAAGAGAATATGGTAGAGATGGCGGCACAGATGACGACATTGATAAAGGGAAATGCAAACACGAAGGTAGAGATCAAGAAACTCTCTAGAAGACTAAGTGGAAAGAGAAGAAGATAACTATCAAAAGCAAAAAACAGCCAAATGAACAAGTTGAAAGAGGAAAAAAAGATGGTAGAAAAAAGAGCGAAAAGAGCCGAGACAAGAATGGAAAAAATGGAAAAATTAATAGAGAATAAGAAAGATAAAATGAAAAGTGGAGGAGAACTAGCGAAAAAGAATGCATGCAATTGTGCATGCAGATGTGGGAACTCCATCATAAATGAGCTCACAGAAGCAGAAATAGGATATGAAGAGTACTGAGAAATGGGAAAAATAGAATAGGCAGCAGAGATATATAGGAAAACAAAAATAACGGTAGGAAACCCTTTAGAAACTGCTGATGAAACAACAAAGGTGGTGATGATAGAGCCGGATGACATGGAGATGATCGAAGTATCCAAAAGCTATCTAGGGATAAGTACCCGGAGCTAGCGAGGCTAGAAGGAGACCGAGATAATAGAACAAATCACTAAAGTAAGAAGGACAGGAAAGCAGACAAGGAAAAAGGTGGTGAAAGTGATGATGGACGACACACACAAAGATACATGGAATAAACTTATGAAACTCATAGAGGAAACTCAATGAGGAAATATGCGTACACCATGTAAAATGGATGGAGATCAAAAACCTCCAAAAAATGGTTGAGGCTGTTTTTCACTTTGGGAACACCAGTGTGGAGATATTTACAACAAGCGGGGGAGAAATACCTAAGAGGGAAAGGACGACATATGGGGTGTTAGTCTCAGATGGAGGTACTGAATAAGGTAAAGAAAGCTGTGAAAACTATGAACGGAAACGAGGCAACCAACTCCATGAGAGAGGTTAGAAGTACTAGAGGAGGAAAATTGCTGATAACCATGGATTACCTTGGAAGAGGTTAAAGATGCAGATAACATAAAAACAGGAATAAATTGGACACAACAAGGAGACCGTCTTGGACATGTTTGGCTGTACTGTAAAAAAGGTCTGAGAAGGCTCCTGCTGAAGACTGCCGGAATCTAGGATCTCAAGAATGAGAGAA